TATCACCCGGAGCCTCCGCGGCGACGCGCCAGCAGCTGGTTGGCGGGCACAGCAAGGGCTGGCTGGTTCATGGCGGCGTCCAAAAGGCGCCTTTCTTAGCCGCAGGGCCCGCCGCCTGGACGATCACCGCAGGCACTGGCCAGGGCCTGGGGTCAGCACCAGTCACGCCGGCAGCGGGGCTCCTGAATGGGGGCCCTGGCGGCGGCGGCGGCGGCGGCGGCGGCGGCGGCGGTGGAACAGGCGCGCTGTCTGGGAGCAGCAGCCCCCGCGGCGCCGGGGCTGCGTCCCCGCGGCCTCGCAGCAGCAGCCCCGCGGCGCGGCAGCTGCCCGCCCAGGCGCTGAGGGAGCGGCTGACAAGGACGTCGGCGGTCGTCAGGATCATGCAAGCCAAGAGCTTCCGGCGCACGACCTCCAGGCATCGCGGAAAGGGTGGGTGGCCAAACCACGGCGCTTCGCTCTGCACCCGTCTGCCAGGCGTCGTTTGCATGTCCTGCAGTGCGGCCACCCGCGCCTGACGCCCTCCCCCCGCTGCCCGCAGGCGCGCCGCACGCGCATGTCCAGCGGTCCCACGGAAACAGCTTGAAAAGGAGGAGCAGCAGCGGGGCTTCGGGCGCCAGCGCCGGCAGCGCGGGCAGCGCCGGCAGCGGGGGCGCGGGCGGCCGCGGCGGCGCGGACGGGGTCGCCCACGTTCAGCTGCTTGGCCGGGGCTTTGAGGATGGCGGAGAGCGTGAGGAGCCGTTGTCGGATGAGAAGCAGCGGGCACTGTTCTCGGCGCCGGCAGCAATGCAGGTTGGTGCTAAGGGAGGCGGGGGCTGTTTGGTTTGGCCGCACGGACGCGCGGCGTCGCATGCTGGCTGTCATGCACCATGCGCCGCGTGCTGCCGTCCGTGAGTTTCTCAAAAGCATTTTGTACACCTGGGTCCTTCACAAAATGCATCTATCATGCCTGGTTGGACCTGCAGGCGTTGGATGGGTTCAAGGAAGCGCCCGCAGAGTCTGCGGCAGCTGGCAGTACCATGCCGTGCGGCAGCTGCTCAACAGCGGCGGCGGCGGCGGAGGCGGCGGGGCCAGGCGTGCTGCAGGCGGGGACGCCGGCGCCGGCGGCCGTGCATCCGGGCCCCAGATCGCAGCCAGAGGCAGCACGTTTGCATCAAGCCACGCTCGTGCGGCAGGAGCGGCAGGCGCCTTCCCAAGCCGCTTCGGCGGTGCCGCCAGCCCTGCGAACGCCGCAGCAGCCGCAACAGCGGCCGGCGGTAGCAGTGACGGCGGGGGCACAGGTGCCCGCTGGGCTGGCGGGGCGCCGGGGCCGGCGGGGCGGGGGCGGCATTCTATGCTGCTTCCTTGGGGGCGGCGCGCGCGCCTCTGAGGAGGATTCTGACAACACGGCCACGGCTGTAACCCCTGAGGCTGGGGGTGCGGCCGCCGCCCCCGAGACGGGCGCAGCCCCTCCCTTGGCGCAGGGCGGCGCGGCCGCGGGCGCCCATCAGGCGCCCCTCCCTGCCGCTCACGCCGCGGCTGGGACCTCCAAGATAGTTCCTGGGATGGTTGCGCCCGGGAATGCCGAGGACAAGGCCAGCAACGCCGGCACTAGCACGAGCGGCGGCGGCTTTGGCGGCCAGGTCGCGGCGGGGCTGTCTAAGAGTGGGCAGCGAAGCTCTGGAGACGGGGGCCAGCCGGGAGACCAGCCGCCGCGCGAGCAGCCGGGTCGCGCGGCGGGCGCAGCTGCGGGCGCGGCCGACGCGGAGGGCGGCGGGCGCGCGGCGGGTGAGGCGGCGCGCGCATGCTCATGTGACTGGTCTCGGCACGAAACCCGCGCCTTGAGTCTAACTTGCACGTCGGCGCAGCATTCGACGCTTCAAAGCCAGGAGGTTGCAGAATTTCCCCTCTCACAACTGACTTAGTTGGCTAGTCCTTTCCTCCCGCTTTTGGATGCGCGCTTACCCGCCCCCCCCTCCCACCCGCTCAACAAATCCTCAGGCGTGCCGGAGGGCGCCGGCTCAAGCAGCGGCCATTCCAGGGGCTCCTCTCAAGCCGACCGCCGCTGCAGCGCCAGTGCCGCAGGGGTGGCGCCTCTACAGCAGGAGTGGGGCTCGTTGGACGGGCGCGCCGGCGCTGAACCCAGAGGCTCGGTGGAAGATTCAAGCTCGCAGCAGGAGGCGCAGCAGCAGCAGCAGCAGCAGCAGCAGCAACAGCAGCAGCAGCAGCAGCAACAGCAGCAGCAGCAGCAGCAGCAGCAGCAGCAGCAGCAGCAGCAGCAGCAGCAGCAGCAGCAGCAGCAGCCGGAACATGAGTCGCTGCAACAGCAGCAGCAACTGCAGTATCACGAGCAGCAGCTTCAGCTGCTGGCCCCGCCGCTGCCGCCGCCGCTGCCGCTGCCGCCGCAGCAGCAGCAGCAGCAGCAGCAGCAGCAGCAGCAGCAGCAGCAGCAGCAGCAGCAGCAGCAGCAGGAGCAGCTGCAGGAGGAGGAGCAGCAGCAGCAGCAGCAGCAGGAGAAGCCGGATGGCACACAGGGCTTGCGGCCAAACCGGCTGCAGGAAGCACACCAGCAGCAGAAACCGTGCAAGGCACAACATGGCGAGGCAGCGGTGGCCCCAGCTCGACGCAGTGCCAGTCCCCCACACGGCCGCAGGGGCGCGCTGCACCACACCCCCTGGGAGCTGTTTGCCGCGGCCCACCCGCCGTCGCCCGCGCGGCCCGCGTCGCCGCCGGGCGAGGCGCGCAGGGCGCCATCATGCGCCCTCCCCTCTGCCCCCAGCGCCGGCGGGCCCGCGCTCGCGCGCCGCACGCCGTCCCCAACGGCCGCCCGGCCCCGCTCGCCTGGCCCCGCAGCCGCGCCGCGCTCGCCTGGCCCCCTAGCCGCGCCCCGCGTGGCCGGTCCGGGCTCTCCCGCACGGCAGCAGCGGCCGCAGCAGCAGCGGTCGCAGCAGCTGCGGCCGAGCAGCCCCGGGGCGCCCAAAATCAGCCCCAGGCTGGGAACGGGGGTGGCCATCACATCTGTGTCGATTGAAGACATGCTGCTGGCCTCGGCCGCCCGCGGCGCCCCCGCCGCCGGCGTCGCTGGGCGCGGCACGGCAGGCGTCACACGGTCCGCGAGGGCGCGCACTGGGGCGCCTGTTGAGACGAGCTGGTCGCTGCAGCTGGCGCCGCCGCCGAGCCAGCGCGGGCCGTGGCTGATGAGCGGCGCCGACGCGGACGCGGGCGCGGCGGAGATCGCCGCGGGGAAGCTGAGGGTGCCGATTTGCGTGGTCCAAGGCGCCATCAACCGCCGCCGGACAAGCGAGGCCGTCGCCGATGCCCTCCGCGGCCGCGCAGCCGCGGCGGCGGCGGCGGCGGCGGCGGCCCCCAATGTGTGTGGGCGCGTTGGTGCAGGCGCGCGGGCGCGGCAGGCGGCGGCGCTGAGCGTGTCGGCGCGCGCGGCGTCCGGGCGGCGCCGCGGGGCGCGGCGGCAGCTCGGCGGCCTCCAGATCAAGATCCCAACAGAAGACGATGAGTCAGTCGACGGCGGCGGCGGCGGCGACGGCGCAGCCGTAGCGGCGGCGCTGCTTCTGCGGCGCCGCGGGGCTGGCGGGCGTGCGCGACGCGCGCTCACGCCGCGCGGGCTGCAGATGCGCCACGCCGTGCTAACTCTTCTGTCCCCGGGCTCTCCCCTCAATCCAGCACGGCACGCGCCCTGCAATGGCCGCGCGGCTGCCGGCGGCCCCCCCTGGTGCTGGACGGACGACGACGGTCCAACTGCACAGGCTGCTGCTGACGACGGCGCGGCTGCAAAAGCGGTGGAAGGTGCTCGACGCGCCGCAGGCCCGAGCAGTGGGCGCGACGGCGGGACTGTGGCAGCCGCAACAGCGGCGGCGGCTGAGAAGCCAAGCCGGATGCCTTGCGGCTTTGTGGACGGGGGCACCGGCGAGCATGGCGCCGAGGCTGCAGATGAAGAGAAGGCTGGCACTGCCATTGCCATCCGCAGCGCGCTGGAGAGAGCCGGCCTGGGAGCGGCCTCCGGTGCTGCCGCAGGCGCAGGCGCCGCTGTCACCACCCGCGGGGACGGGGCCGCAGGGGCGGCGTTGCTGCCGGCCGCATCTGATGATTGGGACGAGGGCCCAGTGGCCTTCACCCGCTTCAGCCTGGGGGGCGGCGCGCCGTCGGCAGCGACAAGCGGCTGGGGGCGGCGGCAGGAGCAGCAGCAGCGGCGCGCCGCCCCGAGCGGCGGCTCGCCGGCGGCGCGGCGCGCGTCCGGCGCCGCGATCGGGCGCGTCAGCGGGGGCGGCTACGCCGGCATGCGGCGGGCGACAGACGGCGGGTGGAGCGACGGGTGGAGCTCGGCCGGCGGTGCACGCGTCGGCAGCAGCGGCGGCGGCGGCGGCGGCGGCGGCGCAGCCTCGGGTCGGTTCGCAGCCGCTGGGCACCTGCCGAGCTGCTACAGCACCGTGGCCGCCACGGGCTCGAAGTACCACACCCCTGCCCAGCTGTCGGCGATCGCAACAGCGGCGACGGCGCGAGGCTTGTTGGAGCGGCCGACGCGGAGGGTGTCCGCGGACGCCGGCTGCGGCAGCGGCCTGAGCGGGGGCGGCAGGGGCGGGGCGCGGCGGCTGACGAGTCAGCGGTCGTACTTGGAGGTGGGTGGAGCGTCGGCGACAAGCGCGACTTTTGAATAAGAGCCGCGTCTCCCTATGGGCGCATTCAGGGGCCCTGGGGTGTGAGATCCGCCGCAGGCCCCAGCTGTACGCAGACCGGTGATAGTTGCCCGCGTGGTGCAACCACTTAACACACATCGCATGACATCATCAGTCTCGCCGCCCAAAGAAGGCATCGGGGCCCTGCTGGGCAGGAAGCGCGGGAACGGCCCAAACGCCCACTGCTTACGCACCCCATCTGACATCGCAGACACTGCTGCGTGCGTCTGAGGCGCGCCGAACCTCGGCTTGCTCCAGCGCCGACCCGGTCCCCCAGGACGCCCCTAGCGGCTTTCCCGCCGCCGCCTCGGCAGCAGCAGCGGCGGACGCGGCGGACGCCGCTGACGGCCTGGCGCTCGGCAGTGACAGCGGTGGCGGCAGCGGCGCCGCGGCTGAGGCGTTTGGTCTTATTTGGAGCGATGGCGCGGCAAGAACCGACAGCGGCGCTAGCGGCGACGGCGGCATCCCGGCAGCGGGGCCCTTGGACAGCGCACCGAGCGGCCTAACCTTGGACGACGGCGGCGGCGCCCTCTTCGAGACCGCGCCCACGCCCGCGCCGCGGCCGATGACCATCACAATGGGTTTGACGCTTTTTGAGCGCGAGCAGGAGTCTGCGGCCGGCACGCCGGGGGCCTGGCCGTGCGCCGGCGCTGCAGGCAGCGCTGGGGCCCAGTTACCATGGAGTGCCCTGGCAACCCCAACATCCGCCCTTGCCGCAGCACCAAGGGGCTCGGCCGCCGCCACGGCGTCGCCGCGTCCTGCCGCTTCGCCCCTGCAGCAGCGGCAGACGCCGCCGCCGCCGCCGCTGCCGCCGCAGCCGCAGCCGCAGCCCGCGCGCGGCCCCGCGCTGCGCCTGACAGTCCGTCCCTCGTCCCAGGGCGGCGCGGCTGCCCCCCTGTCTGTCCGCCTGTCCGTGCGCGACCCCAGCAGCGACGCCGCCGCAGCCGCTGCCGCCGCCGCCACCGCCGTAAACTCCGAGGCGCCGTCGCCGGCCGCGAGCCGGCCCGTCAGCTCCTCCGCCGGCGGCCCCTCGGCCGCCCCGCCCGCCGCCGCCAGCGCAGGCTCCAGCCCGGGCTTCCCTCTGTCCCCCTCGGGGTGCAGCCCCCAGCCCGCGCAGCCCGCGCCGCCCGCGCCGGGGCGGCGCTCGGGGCTCGCTATCAGTGGGAGCCGCGGGGCAGCGGCGTCATCGGCCGGCGGCGCGGGCCATGATGAGGAGATGGCGCTGGTGGAGGCGGCCCTGGATGACGGCAGCAGGGCCGCCAGAAGGTGAAGGGACGGGGACGACGAAGGAGGGTTTAGGGTTTAGGGTTCAGGATTCAGGGTTTAGGGTAAGGCCTTGAGCCCTGAACCCTAGAGGGGGGCCGGCTGCGAGGTGCGATCGGAGCGTGCGATCAGGGCACCCACGTGCGCAGAAGGAGGTGGGGGTCGATGAAGGACAGGTGCAGCAGAGTTTGGTGAGATGGGGCGGTTTTTGCCCCCCGCCATGGCAGGAACGCCGACGGGCCGCTGACGTATGACCGCAAATTCTTGCTCGTTGCCGGGATGCGGGCCGCAGGCTCAGCCCTGCCGCCTCAAGGGACGCCAGGTGGGGGCTCGAGCCCGCCGAGCAGCAGCAGAAGCGCCAGCATCAGCGGCAGCGGCAGCAGGGGTGCGACGCGCAGCAGGAGGGGGCGGCCCCTTCGGTGGGCGCAAGCGGCGGCTGGGAAGAGTCGGCACCCCTTTCGGCGGCGGAGCGGCTGCTGATGCAGCTGGATGGGGACGAGGTGTGCGGGGGGCTGCAGGCGCCTGAGCAGGAGCAGCAAGAGCAGGCCTAGGAGGTTCAGGGCGATAATGCGCAGACGGCGATGGAAGGGGAAGAGTCCGGGCGCAAGGCGAAATGCTCGCCGGCGGGCGTGCGCGGTGATGGTGCAGAGGGCGCGGGGCAGAGGCATGGCAGCGTTTCGCTTGAGGGGGTGCAAGGAAAACGGGGATGGGGCGTGCTGCGCAGCGGCCTGGGCGGCTGCGAGTGCGGCGAGGAGTTTTTTGCAGGAGGGTGATGTTCTTGACAGGGACGCGCTGCAACACAGCTGGGGCCTTTGAACACGCGATCAGGCTGGCCGGTCCTGGAATTGCGCAGTGCTCCTGCACACGCGGTTCACTTTATTCTCGGGAGCAAGCGTTGTTTCATGCGCCGGCCCCTTTTTTGTGGGGGTGTTTGCCCGGCTGAACGCATCTGGTTTGAGTTTTGCAACCTTCGACTACCATCACCTCCTATATCTTAAACCCTATACTTTATCCACATCATGACCTGCTCTTTGATCGTGCCTGGCACTTCATTGGCTGCTGCTCTGGTTTTGAAGAGAGCGTGCTTGTAACCGACGCCCAACCAACTACAATCCAGGGTGCGTTCCAGGGAGGTCTTACACATCATCATTCATAGATAATAGTACGATTCACTTAATGGCAAACATACCATCCAGACGCAACGGCTCAACTTGCCTCAATGCAGCACGTTTGGGGTCACCAGACAGCACCTCAGTGACACGCTTGCTGACCGCCAGGTGAAGAAGCGCCAGTGACGGGTAGAGTTGCAAATCAATTGTTGCATGATATCATATGCGATGTGCATGGAGCGCTGAAGCTCAGTGATGCTCTCGCGGTGCGCGACTCTCTCACAGCGCCCCCACGTGCTGTGCGGGCGCATCCGATCGGGAGCTCGGTTAAATCAAAGCCCGAACATGTCAGCATCAGCGCAGCTTGGGGCTCAGGGCGACCTGGACAGCGCGGTCGAGGCTGTAGTGAGGGGCTTGCACGCCAATGGCACAAAAGTTGTGTGCTATGTGACGGGAGGAGCGTCCCAGGTGCGTGCCTGGGCGCCTGGCGAGCCAATGAGCATGCCTCGCCGCCAACGCCGCCGCCGGTGGCACACCCATGCCCACCGCCCCGAGCACAGCTGCTCACTGAGCCCCATCTGCTGCCCGCAGGCGGTCGCCTGGCTGCTCGGCGTACCGGGCGCGTCCGCCACCATGCTGGAGGTGACAGTGCCCTACTGCCGAGACAGCTTGGTGGAGCTCTTAGGGGAGGTGCGTTGGGCCTGTGCACGGCGGCAGGCGGGCGTCAACATCGTTGGCCTCGACGCCTCAGGACGTCAGATGCGATGAACCGGTCTCGCTGGCCCGACCCGGCCCCAGACCTGCTGCACTGGGCGGCCCGCCGGCCGCAGCACGGGCGGCCGATTGATTCGGCAACAGCCACCACCATGGGACGCCCTTGCGCAGAGACGGGGCGAAACGCCGGCGGGCGCTGGCTGGAGTTCGCGCCTGGGCCGTCGGCCTGGGACCGGTTGCCCGGCTCTCGATCGACCTGCACAACAAGAAACCAAACGCGCCCGACCGACAGCGGCGCACGCCGACGCCCAGGCGTACCCCTCACGTTGCACCGCCCGCCCGCGCCGCCTCCCCCGCAGGAGCCCGCCCAGTTCTGCAGCGCGGCGGCCGCCGCCGCCATGGCGCGCGCGGCGTACCGCCGCGCCGCCGACCTCACCCCCTTTGGCACGCCCATCCTCGGCGTCGCCGCCACCTGCGCGCTGGCGTCGGACCCGCCGAAACGGGGGGAGCACCGCGCTTATGTGGCGGCTTGCAGCGGCGATGAGTCGCGCGTCGCGTGGGTGCGGCTGGCAAAGGGGGCAAGAACTAGGTGGCAGGAGGACGGGGTGGTCTCACGTCTGCTGCTCAGGGTGAGAGGGGTACAAAAGCAAAGATCGTCGGGGCTTTTGGGGTGTGTGTGTGTGTGTGAGTTGTGTGTGTGCGTGTGTGCGTGTGTGCGCGCGTGCGTGCGTTCATTACAGCATGTGCGTGTGTGTGTGTGCATGCGTACGTGCCCATGCAGGCACAAGGCAATGTCGCACGCCCTTGCGTGGGACTTGGTGCCCAGCAATGGGGGTCAGGGTGCAGGCAGGGGAGGCCAGCCTGCTGCCGCTCGAGCCGGAGGGCAAACAATGCTGCTCCGATTGTGCCTCTCAGGACCGGTGCGGGCCGGGGTGCGCCGCTGCTGCCATCAAACAGCATCGCCCCGCCATGGGATGGCTCGGCGAGTGCTGTCTGAACTCAGACCCCATGTGCTTGTGCCCTGAACTCCCGCGCGCCTCAGGTGCTTGCGCAGGCGTCCTCATCAGAGCCCACAGACCCCGGCCTAGGCCTCATCCCGCAGCCATCCGCTGGCAGAGCGACTGGGAGCGGCGCAGATGACGGCAGCGGCCTTGCCAGCGCAGCTGCAGCAGGCGCCCCTCAGCAGCAGGAGCAGCAACAGCAGCAGCAGCAGCAGCAGCAGCAGCAGCAGCAGCAGCAGCAGCAGCAGCAGCAGCAGCAGCAGCAGCAGCAGCAGCAGCAGCAGCAGCAGCAGCAAGCTGGGGCTGGCTCCACGGACCCCGCGTGGGACGAACTGCAGGAGACCGTGTCGCCCGGCCCTGACCCTCTGGGCGAGCTGCTCGCCGGCCGCGCGCGCTGCGTCGAGTACAGCGGGGGCCGGGTGTTCGTGGACGCCCCGCGGTCAGGCAGGGTGTACCTGCCGGGAAGCTTCAACCCGCTGCATGACGGCCACCGGCAGCTGCTGGCGGCGGCGTGCAGGGCGGCGGGGAAGGGGCCGGAGGCGGGCTGCTTCGAGCTGTCGGTTGGGAACGCTGACAAGGCGAGCGGTCGTGTTGGGGGGAAGCCCGGAGTGTGTTGGAGGTGTGGGGGCGGCCTATACGCATGTTGTTCTGTCCGGGCGCTTGGACCAATGGGCGCCTGCGCATCACAGGGTGCCGGCATGCCAGCTAGCCGTGTGGGCCACCTTCTCTGCGCAACGTTTTGTCAGTCGCAGCACTTTGGCCATCCTGTGCTGCTCGTGCATAACACATCAATGAATGGAACGCGAGGCCAGATTCCACAACAACAAAAAGAATGCACATATTCGCAGGCAAGGCACTGCTGGGCCGCAGCCCACGCACTCGACCAGCACTAGCTCATACTCCATTCGCGCCCTCCCGGCAGGGCATGCTGCCGATAGAGGAGGTGCGGCTGCGGGTCACGCAGTTCACGGCCACGGACACGCCCGTCGTGGTGACGTCAGCGCCGCTGTTTGTGAACAAGGCGGCCCTCTTCCCCCGCAGCCTGTTCGTCGTCGGCGCGGACACGGCGGCGCGGCTGGTGCTGCCAAAGTACTACGGGGACAGCGAGATAGGTGCGGGGGGTTGAAGAAATAGATCACCTCCTAGTGGCCCAGTACGGCATGCGTTCTTTGTGCAGCAAACGTGGCCTCGCAGCGCTTGCGGTGTGTCTCTTTGTGTGAGGGGGGGTGCAAGTGTGTGCAGCTGTGCACACCTGTGCACGCAGGCAGGCGCGCGCGGGGAGCAAGAATTTCGGCAGAGGCGCGGCCTGAGTAGGTGTTGCTGGCGACTAGAGAGATCTTGCCGGCAGCTTGTTGCGGCGAAGGCCTCCGAGAACCGTTCCCTTTCACCCTCCAAACCCAGCCACCCGCTACCCCGCCCCTACCCGTAACCTCTTTGCCCCGCCTCCGTCTCTTCCACTGCCAGGGATGGCCCTGGAATTCTCCCTCATGCGCAACAACGGCTGCGCCCTCCTGGTCGCCGGCCGCGCGGACGGCGCCACGGGCCAGTTCCTGCAGCTTTCAGACATTCAAGTGCCCGCGACCCTGGTGGTGAGCGCGGGCGGACACCCAAAGCATGCCATTGCCTGCCGCAGCTGCTGCCCCTCGCACGACGCCCACAACCTGGAGCAGATCGCCGCCGCTCGGCGCAAGCTGAGTCAGCAAAACGTGCCTTTGTCGCGTCACGAGGGCCCGTTTGACCGGTAAAACCGCGTTGACCAAGCGCGTGCATCCCTCCCCGCAGGACCTGCTTCGGCCGATTCCAGAGTCGGACTTCAGGGTGGACCTCTCTTCCACTGCTCTGCGCGAGAAAGGCCAGGGCCTCGCCCCGCCAGCGCCCGCGGCCGGCGCCAGCGAAGGGCCGTCGCCGTGGCCGAGCCCGCGGCGGTGACGGCGGCGGCGGGGGCGCGGCTGCGGGGGTGAGCCACTGCTGCTGGGTCGACCCGTTGGCAAGCTCGACCACTGACGAGGACCGGGCAGGGTTGCGCACGGCCGGCCGGCGGCGACTGCAGAGGCGCTGCGTAAAGCTCCTTTGTTACTTGTATTCTGCTTGGAACAGTCAGGGTTTCTCGGCTTCCGTATAATTTGTCTCGCATACCCACAGCTGTTGAAAGTTCTCTGGGGCCGTGTGCCTGCTGCCCTTTTGCTACCCTACTGCATAGGCTGCCCACAACAATCAACCAACTCTCAGCAGCCCAAACACCGCGTTCCCAGTTTGTTACGTTTTCGCGTGATGCAGACCAGGGCGTGGTTCATGGGGTTCCGGCGAGCGAGAGGCCAGTGCGCCGTCAAGAGAGGCAGTGCGGCTAAGTGCAGGGTGCGGGGTGCAGGGCACAGTCTTGGGTACCGGAAGTGGAAGGGGCGCACGAGGCGCCCAGCGGAGCGCGAGGCGCCTACCGGCGCGCACGGTCGCCGCCGGTGCCGGTCGCCACGCGTAAGCAGGCCAGCAGCAGCTGCGGTGAGCATGATGCCTCGTGGAAGGTTCCATATTCCGCAGGGTGCGTTTGCGGGCGCGGTGAATCAGCAATGAAAAAGAGAGAAGTGTAAGTGTGAGCCAGAAATAGAAACAGCAGGGAATATCCACGAAACATACAAAGCCCGACAAAACCAAGGTATGGGCCTCAAACGCGGACAACGATCGACGCATCAGAACCGAACAGGGCAGAAGACATGGCTCGCTCGTAACCAGGAGCGGCGGCTGGCCAACAAAACAGCACCGCCAGAACACGGCGTGCGAATGCGCGGGGCGCGGAAGAGGAGCAGTCGCCCGCGGGGGGGTCGCAAATGGCTGGGCATCGGGTGCCCGCGATCAGTCACGAGATCGTACACATCAGATCTCAGGTGCCTCTGGGGGCGTGCCTGGAATGTGGCGGGGCGGGGGTGGGGTAGCACCGGCCTGCGGGCGCGCCGCCACCCCCTCGCGGCAGGCTAGCGGTTGGTTCAGCAACTGCGAGGGCGGGGCCTCGGATGGAAAGGAGACCGAGGGCGGCCCCCGAAACGGGTCGAGCGGGGCAGGCCGCTGCGCGGTAGCGGCGACAAGAGCCGGGCTGCCTGTACGTCTTCCGCCCGCCGCAGGGGGCGCCGGGAGTAGTGCCGGCTTGCCATAAGCTTCTAGCAGAGCCTAAGCTCAAGTAAACCGTCCCGGGTGAAAGCTGCGCCGCCCGCTTGAGTGGGCCGACGTATCCAGGGCTGTTCGTGTGTTCACTTGGAGTTTGTGGGGGAGGGCGGCTGGTGCTGCGCGTGCTCCCGCAGCACCTCCACCACAGACCTGAGGGGAAGTCGAGCGGGCAGAGGGAAAGGGCGGCAGATGACGGAGCGACGCAGGACTTGGGCCTGAAGTCCCGGCAGCGACCACTCAGATGCCAAATGGCCGGCAGCGTCAGCGCCACCAACGGCCACGCCAACGCACGTCGTTATGGCCCGGTCCCTAGGAACGGCAGGTGCGGCGCGACTTGCGGCGGCCCCGCGCCAGGCCGGCTCAGGGGCGGGCGAGTGCCAGCCGGGCAGCGAAAGGAGGCGGGCCGCCGCACCTGAAGGCGAACCACTCTGGGATGGCGTCCCCGGCGCGCAGCATCTTGCGGAACTGGGTGCCGCTCAGCTTCCGAATGTGCAGGCCCTCTGCTTTTGCCACGTCAGCGGTGACGTAGCCGCGCTCCTCTGTGTACACGACGTCCAGGGAGGGCACAGTCTGGGGG